AAAAACCCCATGGACATCAGATTCTGAAAGATTTTGTCTACCACGGTGCATGCTTTCATTACACTGGCTATACTGTCATCTGCGTTTATTATCTTATTGTGTCATTTGCTGTCTTCGAAGGCCTTTGCACCTGCCAACAGAGCACAATGAGCTTCGTGGGTGAGCGTTTCCTCACCGAGTTCACTGCATTTGAGCAAAAACAACGGCACCAAGAGCCTATCGGGCCTGAGGCACAGCTGAGGTGAGAGGGTGCTGCCGGCTCCCGCACACTGACCGGGGCCCTGACCAGGCCTGAGGGCACTCTGCCTGCCTGCCTGAGCCCGGCCAGGCCAGCTGCTCATCCCATCAGTCCTCCTTCCCGTCTCATGTCTTTCTGAGAAAAGGGCATAATTTCAATCACCCCACGCCTAGACCTGGGCGTCAGGGCAGCCAGGCTCCGGGGAAGGCGCAGGGAAGCCCACAGCACAGGCCTGGGCCGGCTCTCCAACACAGCTGCTGGGCGCCCCACTGCTCCCCCAGGTTTCCCCCCAGAGCAGCTGCCCCGTGACATGGGGATGTGCAGGTGGGGCTGCTGGTCTCCTGCTGCTGCTCCTCACGGGTCCCTCTCCCTAAAGGCTCCTCCTCTCCTGCGGGAGGGCTCAGCCCTGACTTGGGGAGCCAGGCCCACAAACACAAACCTGAGGAGCCCTTCACCCCTCAGGGACCGGCCTCCACCATCGGCCTGTCCTGGTCCCCGCACCTGCACTTCCTTGGCCCCTCGTGATGGGGAGACCCACCACCCGCCGCACCCCCACACCTCACCCCTCCCAAGGGAAGGGGGAGGGCAGAGCAGCCTGGACGCTCCTCCTTAGGGGCGCTTTCCCTGGCACCTGCCAAGCCGAATCCAAATGCACCTGGCCACTTTGTCACCAGGACCGGGGCGCCTCTCTGCCTCTCCCAGGGCCTCCTCTCTGCGTCAGGGCCCGCTCTCCTCTGTATGTCCTCCTCCCCATGAGCCGGTAACTTACAAGGATTTTGGAATTTAAAAAATTAAGATTATGATTAAAACAAGAGGCCCAGTGCACGGAATTTCATGCACTGGGGGGAGAGGGGGTCCCTCAGCCCAGTCTGCACCCTCTCAGTCCAGGACCCCTTGGGAGATGTCCACCTAAGCCAGCAGTTCTCCTCTGTATGTCCTCCTCCCCATGAGCCGGTAACTTACAAGGATTTTGGAATTTAAAAAATTAAGATTATGATTAAAACAAGAGGCCCAGTGCACTGGCTTCTGGCTGAGCGGTGCTACCACTGTGGGAGCGCACTGACCACCAGGGGCAGCTCCTGAGTTGAGCATCTGCCCCCTGGTGGTCAGTGCACATCATAGTGACTGGTTGACCAGCCTTTTGGTTATTTGGTCATTCGGTCACTTAGGCTTTTATATATAGAGAGAGATTGATATGTTTAAAATACACACAGTCTTCAGGACAACCCACTTTAAACTCCTCACCCTAGCAGGGGGCGGTCCCAGTGGCCGCGGAGCCAGGGGTCCCAGGAGTGGCCAGGCCCCACCCAGCCAGCACCTCTGCATCTGCCTCATTCACGGGGTGCTCTGCAGGCCCCAGCCCTCGCTCTGAAACATACGTGTTTTCCGTGCGCCTCTGAAAGCGCCGAGAGAGCACTTGGGTAGAAAACACGTGGGGAGCGACCAGGGGAAGGAGTCGCGAAGGCTGGCACCACTAGCATCCGGCACGAGGACAGGGGGTGGTCACAGCATTGGCCAGGCTTCCTGCACGGAGCCCCCGACCTGGCAGGTCCCGGGTGGGAGGAAGTGCTACTCATGGTACACCTTAACCTTCCACAGTGTCCTGTGTCTGTCATACCCCAATAAAGCTGGGGCGGGCGGGGCGGGGCGGGGATCTGAGGGGAAAAGACTTTCTCTGTGTTGTGCTCAGAGACACAGAGAACAGACTGACGGTGGCCAGAGGGGAGAGGGCTTGGGGGGCTGTGTGAACAAGGTGAGGGGATGAAGAAGCACAAGTTGGTAGTCACAGAACAGTCCCGGGATGTGAAGTGCAGCACAGGGAATACAGTATCGATAATACTGTAATAACTAGGCCTAGTGCCAGCTGGGCACTGGGAATGCTTTGCAGAGTGTACAACTATCGACCACTACACTGAACACCTGAAACTAGTACAAAATAATTCTGAGTGTCAACTGTAATGGAAAAATAAAATTTTAAAAATACAGTGGGGCCTTGACTTATGAGTTTAATTCGTTCCGTGACGGAGCTCGTAATTCAAATTACTCGTATGTCAAATCAAAAAGTGAACGAGTGAGACACGTGATGCTGGGCTGATGTTGTGGCGTTCACTGTGACGTTCGCTGCGCCAACTAGCGGTGGGGTATCTGAAGCTGGCTCGTAACCCGAATTTTAGCTCGCAACTCAAAGCAAAAAATCGGCTGAGAGACGGCTCGTATCTCGAAAAACTCGTTAGTCAGGACACTCGTAAGTCAAGGCCCTACTGTAATAATAATAATAAAGAATCTGTGTCAAGGAGAAGTGCAAGGGTTAATGCTGTAAATGGTTTCACTGGATGGAGACAGTGACTTGTATAATTTATTTCACTAACTTCTTACTATACCACTTTTTTCATAAACTCTTTATTTACTGCTGACATTCATGTAACCTGGCCCCAAAAAGGAGATGACTGTCTGCTTTATTAAACCATGAGGATGTACTTTCTGCTTGTTAAGATTACGTGTGAGGAAGTCCCCTTTGACAGGTGTTGTTTTCAGTGACCCACGGCCTTTCAGGAATCTAATTTGTAAAAAGTGGGGGTAAACCCAGAGCCTCACCTGATGCCAGGTACACAGCAGGTGCTCAATTCATGCCCCTGGAAGGAAGGCCTGGAGAATCCCTTTGCTCCTGCACCCAGGTGTCCCTCCCTGAGCACAGCCTATGTGCCGGGGGAGATGGGGAGAGGGTGGCGCTGAGCGCAGGGCTGAGCGGAGAGCCCAGGGATCCGGGGCCTGGGGTGGTGAGCGCTGCCCAAGCCCGGGGCCCACTCCTGGCCCCGAGAGTCCCAGTGTGGGGTGAGTCATCGCCCTGGGGGAAGACACAGCCCCTAGGATACGCAGGTGTTTTCAACCATTGACACACCAGCAGGCCAATGCCAGCACCCTAACTCCATTCTCTTGTCTAAACCCCTGCATCTTGGGCCCATGAAAAAGATGTGAGACTAGAAGAAATGAGGCAACGTGAGGGGCAGCAGGCGGCTGGGCTCTGTGCCTTGGGCAAGTCACCCCGTCTCTGGCCTCCGCTGTGTGATCTATAAAGGGAGCAGCTGGCGGAATCCCTCCCGCCCCAGGTATGCAGTTCTGGTTGATGATGAGAAAGGCTACGGGGCCTGAGAGCATCCCCGGCCGGAGTCAGGAGACCGCACAGTCCCAGGGCAGATGGGAGGGGCAGGACGCCCTGCCTGGCCCTTTGGGGGGTGGAACTGTCAGAGCCCCTGGCGGACTCAGCGGGAGTTTCCCTGCTTGTGAGGGTCCCAGCTTTGAGTCCCAAAGTCCAAGAAGCCTGAGGACTTCCTCCTGCGGTGACTCGGGTTCCGCAGACGGGCTTTCTGACCTGCTGGAGGCAAGCGGCTCGGTGGTTTCCTCCTCCCCAGAAAGAAGATGCAGATCCACGTTCTGTTTTTGATGAAGTGAAAACGCTCCCTTCGATTTCCGGTGCAGGGCGAGGCTCCGACCCCCAGGAGCCCAGCGGGACTGGGGGCTGCAGAGAGGGAGGCTGGCCCGGCAGCTCAGAGGCCTGTGCTGAGAGCAGCTCTCGGTTGGCAGGGCTGACAGTGACACGGAGTAAGCGCTGAGGAGCAGGCACCCGCTGGGCACTCACTGGTATGGTCTTACGGAGCTTCCCGCTATCCCAAGGGTCAGCCAGGGCAGCGCCCCCACCTTGCAGATGAGAAACCTGCGGTCTCCGAGGTGGAACAACTTGCCCAAAGCCACCAGGCAGGTACGGCCGCAGGCGCACAGGGGCCCAGGCGCGGACGGGAGGCGGTTCCCACTGGGCCACAGTCGCCAAAGACTCAACACTGAGGACAGGGATCGTTGCGGAGACGCAGGCAGAAAGGCAGGGCCAAGCCTCATGCCCGAGACCCTCGCAATCACTGACGGAAACAGCAGCACTGGGCTCGGGGGACACCCCGCCCTGCAGGTCTGCCTGTGCCCAGACCTCTGAACCTCACGGTGGCGTGGGAGCTGAACGAGATGACATGTAGGCAGGACCCTGAGCGCAAGGCCTGCACAGGGAGCACTTAAATGCCAGGTACCATCGTTGTCATTATCCCGAAGGTTGGCCGAGCAACCATCCTTTTGTCCGTTCATAGAGGAGCCCTGCGGGGAGCACGCGCCCTTGATGGGCGGGCTGAGGCTGGCGGCCGCTCCCTTCTGTGACCTGGAGGCGTGGGGCTGGATGCCCTCAGCACCCGGCCACCCAACCTCGCTGGGCAGGTAGCCAGGGGCAAGGCCGGGAGAGCTCATGCCTGTGGCCCCGCCTGGCCCACGATGTCCTGGGCAAGCCTCCCAGTCCTCACAGCTCAGGTCCCCAGGCGGCTCTGAGGTCCCCGACAGCAGGTCCCGAAGTGCACCGGCCAGGCATCCCTGCTGCCCGGGGAGGAGGGAGGAGGCGTGCAGCTCGCCACCCTCACGAGAGACTCGCTCTCTGTCCCATCTGCCCAGGGCCTGGGTCGTGCCCTCACG